TCTTTATTATCCTGAGGCCCTGTACCTCAGATTGTAGATCCTTTGTCAGTGTCAGCCATGTGGATGAGTCACATCCATTGCTTGGCCAATGTGCTCTCTGTGAAAGCCTGAGAAAATATTATATACACTGACACTGACAAAGGATCTACAATCTGAGGTACAGGGCCTCAGGACAGTCCTGCAACACTCCTTTTCCTGTCTCCTGCCTTCATTCACCATCCCCTTACTTTCTAAACAGTCATCTACCCAAAAGACAGCACGGCAGCAACTGGCGTGTCATGACAAGTAGCACGTATTCAGAAGATCAGAATGACAGGCACTCCAAGCATGAACCTATTATTACAAATTGCTATCTTCAGTGCAGTTGCTTAGTTCACCGATGTCAGCATATATTGAATACCATTCTTGAGAATGGCTGTTTTCAAGGTATCTCCAGGGCATTTAGATAATTGTCAGAATTCCTTAGGAAGAATCGTACCAAAACTTGTGGTAAATCATTAATGTGGAGACCCATTTTATTGTGACTGTGTTGTTGTTGTTGTTGTTGTTGTTCATTTGTTTTGTTTTTTCATAGAAATGAAGAGTTGGAGAAGTGTTACCCACTAAATATACCCACCGTCATTCACACTGGACTGACGACATGTGAGTTTTGGGGATTAGAAGAGAAGCTCTATAAATATAAGGAACATGGAAGAACCTGCAGTGATTTTCACTCCTTTCAGAAGGATGTAGGGACAAAGACTGGAGAGAAATTGTATGAATATGATCAATGTAAAAAATCCTACTCTGATCTTAGTGAAAGAACTCAGCTTAAAGAGAAAACTTTTGTATATAAGAAAAACTTGAAAGCCTCCCTTACACCCAATGATGTTGAGATCCATGAAAGAACTCACACTGAGAAGCCCTATATAAATAAGCAATATGTGAAAGCTTTCAGTACACAGGGTTATTGCAAAAGACACGAAAGGCTTCACACTGGAGAGAAACTTTATGTATGTGAGCAGTGTGGGAAAGCTTTTCGTACACAATATCAAGGTAAGATACATGAAAGGCTTCACACTGGGGAGAAACCCTATGTATGTAAGCAGTGTGGGAAGGCTTTTAATACACAAGGTTATTGGAAAGTACATGAAAGAATTCACACTGGGGAGAAACCTTATGTATGTAAGCAATGTGGGAAAGCTTTTATTACACAAGGAAATTGGAAAGTACATGAAAGAATTCACACTGGGGAGAAACCCTATGTATGTAAGCAGTGTGGGAAAGCATTTAGTACACAAGGTTCATGTAAAAAACATGAGAGGCTTCACACTGGGGAGAAACCCTATGTATGTAAGCAGTGTGGAAAACATTTCAGTACACAAGATTCATGTAAAGCACATGCAAGGCTTCACACTGGGGAGAAACCCTATGTATGTAAGCACTGTGGGAAAACTTTTAGTACACAAGGTTCCTGTAAAGCACATGAAAGGCTTCACACTGGGGAGAAACCCTACGTATGTAAGCAATGTGGGAAAGCTTTTGGTATACAAAGTCATTGTAAAAGACATGAAAGAATTCACACTGGGGGAAAACCCTATGTATGCAAGCAGTGTGGGAAAGCTTTTAGTACACAAGGTTCCTGTAAAGTACATGAAAGGCTTCACACTGGGGAGAAACCCTATATATGTAAGCAATGTGGGAAAGCTTTTAATACACAAGGTTATTGGAAAGTACATGAAAGGCTTCACACTGGGGAGAAACCCTATGTATGTAAGCAGTGTGGGAAAGCTTTTAGTACACAAAATCATTGTAAAAATCATGAAACCATTCACACTGGGGAGAAATCCTATGTATGTAAGCAATGTGGAAAAGCTTTCAGAACACAAGGTTCCTGTAAAACACATGAAAGGCTTCACACTTGTGGCAAATGCTACATATGTAAGCAATGTGGGAAAGGTTTTAGTACACAAGTTTATCGCAAAGCACATGAAAGGCTTCACACTGGGGAGAAACCCTATGTATGTAAGCAATGTGGGAAAGCTTTTAGTAGACAAGATTCATGTAAAACACATGA